TGCTACTTTTGACTTCTTTCTGGCAGAAGAGGCCATGTATTTTGTTTGTTAAACTTGTGTAGCTCTCACCTACGGCTTGATTCAAACTAATTTTTACCAGTACATGCCAATGGATTTGCTTTTATGTAATGTGTGAATTTGGCGCATGGTTTTACTTGGACTCTTTTGTGTTCAGGAAGTACTATGGTGAGAAGATTGGAATCTATTTTGCCTGGCTGGGATTTTACACTGAGATGCTATTCCTTGCAGCAGTTGTTGGCTTAATCTGTTTTCTCTATGGCTTGTTTACAATGGATGAAAATATGAGCAGGTGAGTGGAATATTGAAAGTCTCCTACACTCAAGGTGTTTAAGACTTACCTAGCAAATCAATCAATGAAGAGAGAGGGGAGAGAGGAAAACAACAACAACAACAAAAAAACAAACAAAAAACCCCAAAAAACAACAACAACAACCAAAAAAACCCAAACTTAGAAAACCTTTTTTCTATGAAAAACACTCATAGAATGTTTTTTAATCTTGGGGCAGACCAATTTGTCCTCCAGCTACATCTATTGACCAAAAGTATGGTGGCAGCTAGTGTAGAACTGATGACTATTAATTAGCAAGAACCAACTTGTAGGCAAGACATGGTATTTTACAGCTCTTAGTGCAATAAAAAACCCACACTGTTGCCAATCTGCAATACATAAGTTCTTGAGAATGCTGCTAACATCTCAAAAATAGTACTTCATCTGCTTATTTTCATAATATTTAACTTGAATTGATCTCAGAGTAACTTGACCTCTTGTGGAGGTGAAGGGGGTGGAAGTCCTAATTTTTACTATCAAAGCAGGAAGATGAGGTAGATATAAGCAGCTCTTTCTACCCAAAAATGAGGGCCTTATAAGATGGAGGTTGCTCAAGTTTCTTTTGTAAATAATTTTGTGTTTTTTCTTCAACAGATTCCAGGATTTACTATATTCAGGGATTTGTCAGGGAGGAGGGTTGGCATTTTCATTGCTTCTAATTTTAGTGAAAAAGTTTCCAGGAACTAAATTTTTTTTAACAAGAAAAGATGGTATAAAGAGTTCAGAAACAAGCATTTATTTGCATTATTTTGATACTTGCATTGTACTTAACATATGCTGAATTCACCTGGATATGCTGCTCTGCATATTGTGACTTCTCTAGATATAAAGGAATTATATATATATATATATAGGATTGTAAACTTCACCCATGGTAGCAATTAAGTTCAGTGTGGATTAAAGAGGATTCCTTTAACAGATTGAGACTGAAGTAGCACATTTTGCTGTAGATAGGAAAGTTGAATTAATATCTTTGCTTTTAGAAAAGGTATGATGAGCAGTGTAATAATCTGAAATATTGCATAGTTTCTCACATGAAAGGTATGCATATAGACTTCAGCTTCTTAGGGGCCTCTTTCTGGAAAGAAAGAGAAGAAAAAAAGAAAAAAGCATATCTGAAGTGATTTCTTAGTTTTCCTTCTTGTAACAGCTGCTTTAATTGTCAGGACCTGAGCTGTTACAGGCTGTGTCAGTGGATGTGGCAAGTATGAGAAACCTGCACATGTTGAGTTTAGAGCAAATGAAGCTTTACTGTTTTTTGTTGTTGTTTTTCTTGAAATAAGTTTATATAGTATTTTTTTTAACAGTATCTCTTTTAAACATATCTTAAAACATTTTGTTCTTTAGCAAAGAAATCTGTGACCCTGCAATTGGAGGAGAGATCATCATGTGCCCTCTTTGTGACCAAGACTGTGACTACTGGAAGCTAAACACCACGTGTGCCTCCTCAGAGGTTTGTAACTGGTTCTTCAACCCTAGTCATTTTGTTCATGATGTAACTATTTTACTGAATCTTTCCTATGTGTTTTGTTGCAGTATTCCCACTTGTTTGATAATGTGGCAACTCTTTTCTTTGCTGTTTTCATGGGTATATGGGGTGAGTACATTTGATAATAAGTTTATGTTATGTTAAGGTATCAGTGCCCCCATGAGGGATTAGAGGCCCTTTGATTGCAGCCCAGCACTACTGGGTCGCCAGCAACTCTTTGGGACCAGAATCAGTTTGTTTCTCTTCCAAAGAAGCTCATACCCAGCATGTCTGTTTCTACTCTGCAGAAATGGGTAGATTCTCTGAGACTTGTATAAATGTTTCCACCAACAGACTGGCTCAAACTCCAGGATTATGTTGTCTGGAATATATGTTGGCATCTGAATTTTGTGTGTCTTTAACCATGTTATCCTGAATCCATACTTCTTACTTCCTTGAATACCTAGCTTTTACTGTTCCTTAACTTGGATACAGACTTATTAACCTACAAAGAAGTGTTTGAATACTTAGTCATTACCTTTTCCACAGAGTGTTCTGAAAAAAACTCCTGAAATAAGATTTGTGAGCCTGTTTGCTGAACCTTGCCGAACGTTCCTTGGTTTTAAACTATAGCTGTTCTAATAGATTAGTCATTTGGAAAGCACAGCACAAGATCAGATTTCCTGTGTTTGTGTAAACCAGAGTCCCTTGAGTTCAAATAAGATCAATCAGATTACTAAAGGCTTTACATTAAAAAGCCTTCTATAAGCTACTTTACAATGTTACATGGTATTAACCCTTGAAAAACAGTTCTTAAGCCAGTCTCAGCCCCAAACACTTGAAAAGCATCACGTATTCGCTGTCTTTAAAATGACTACAATGTCAAATATCCAAGTAGTAATAGGAGTCATTGAACTTAGTACTATGAAACAGTTCTGCTTATCAGTAATACAGCTCATGCATTACACAGCTGTATACAAAGAATTAACTATATTATCTCTGTTTTTTGTTAATCTGTATTGATATTTGTTTGGAAAAGTTAAAAAGTAATTGGACATGGTGCCGTAACATGGGAATAATCCACATCCTGTCTTGACATCTTCTTCATCTGCTCTTGGACTTCAGATGATAAATATTTGATTTTTATTATTCTTAGCTATGAACTTTAAGAGGTAGTTGATAGAAATAGATGGGTCACACTCTGAGAGCAAGTAAAAGGCTGTAGAATAGGAGCCAGTGCAGAGACAAGTTATTAATGTAGGTAATAACCTTGTTCTCATTTCAAAAAAAAAAAAAAAGAAAGCTTTTTAATAACACTTTTTTAAATTGCAGTTACTCTTTTCCTGGAGTTCTGGAAGCGACGGCAAGCTAGACTGAAATATGAGTGGGACTTGGTTGATTTTGAAGAAGAACAGCAGCAACTCCAGCTGAGGCCTGAGTATGAAGCCAAGTGTACCCAAAAGAAGAAGAATCCTGTAACTCAGGTAACTAAACATGCATGAAAACTCAGCTTGGGGCTGAAAGATGTTAGGGGGAGGGCTTGATAATGCATGAGCATCTAGTTGCTAGGTAAAGATTAGTATAAAGCAGGTGAGCAGTACAGCATTTATATTGGAGCAGGGCAGACCCTACTGTATCTCTGCACAACTAGGTTTATGATCCCAAAGATCTTGTCTTAAGTACAGGAACGTGGTGCCAACCACACCCTGTCCCAGGCTTGCTGAACAAATAAAGCACACGGGGCACCAAAGCAGGACTGGCCATGCTTGCTGGTTTTGCACTGAAGTTGGCAAGAGCTGAGCTCCGGGCTCCTCGGCTGTCTAATATCAGTCATGTCAGCAACTCTGCTGTCAGCAGTTTGAGAGCTTATTACTCTGTTAGCATTGCTTGATATCGGAGCTAATAGCCTTTCAGGACTCCCCTCTGCTATCCAGTCCAGGGCTACCTGCAACTGCCTCTCTGCACTTAGAAAGAGTAGTTACAAGCTGAAGGTTGCTGCAGTCTGGAATCTGAGCTACAATTATCTGCCCTACTAAATGCTTAAACTAGTTAATTGTCTTCTAAGCAGGACTAAAACCCTATTGAGGTGGGAGTTGTTTGACAAATTCAAGTACCAGTTGGTTCAGTTAAAATACTTCTGAGTGAGGTAGTAGATGTATTTAAATTATCCTCCCTCTTCCTAGAATTGTTTTGCATATAAATAACTTATTTCCACCAGTTCCTAAGATAACCCAGTCTTTAGAAAAGCAATAGAGACTTGGCCCAAGGGGAGAAAAATACCATTATTATACAAAGAGTAGCCTGGTGTTCAGGGCTGCCCCTTAATTAGGGAATGCATATGCTAATCTCATTTCTCCTGAGGCTTCTCTTGCTTCTCTTGTTCCCTTTAGTTATTATTCAATTCAATTATTGGATAATCCTTAATTTGATGACACATTATGCTTATTACCTTGGATTTTTGGAAGCTCTGTGATGCTTATTCCAGTTACAGTGAACTTCTCAGGCTAGCTGCAGTGTAGCCCAGTTTTCTTTCACTAGGTAATGTTTCTAGGGACTAAACATGGGATAGGAGAATGATTTAAAATAGATGAGTTCTGCAGTCTAAAAACACGTTAGATATAGGCTAAGAGTTTACTGGGTCATGGGGAACATCGCTTTAGTTAAACTTAATTACTCCTTACTCTGCCATGATTCAAAGTTCTAGGCGCGCTGAAACAAATTGTTCATCTTGAGGCTTAATTCTCAGCAGATGAGATATCAATTAAATACTGGAATCATATTTGTGTGCTGACCTATTTAGGTTGGTGATGGCTAAATTTGACTTTTGCGCTTTTCTGCAGCATCTTAATTTACAGAAATATAAATTTATACAACTAAATGGACCCAGTCTATGCAAAATTAAGCCATATTGCTGCACAACCTTGTCTGCATTTTGTTGTTAGGTAGAAAACGACTTGCTAAATAGCCTAGAATATCTGAATTATTCCTTCCTAATACAATGTTATGCATTAACAAATAATGCATATTAAGTGTTACTGTATAGAGTCCCCTAAGATCTGTGTCCATATCAACTTACCTTTAGATTTTGAGCTATTAATAGAGCCCTAACTGTTACTGTTATCAAAAACCTTGTAGTAAGTCAAGACCAAAGTATTCCTGATAGTGTTTCAGGTATCTCTTGAGCAGATATAAACAGTAGGTTTGACTCTCTCTTGAGACAACAGCGCATTAGGTTTAAAATGAAGCTGATTCCTACCAATGTGCTACTGACTGACCTGGCTACAGGATATTGCCATCCAAAGGAAGTCCTTCTGGCCAAATGGCTGCGTGCACCAGTGTGCTCAGCACACCCTGGGTTATTGTGCAACAGAAACAAAGCTTGCTTCAATACCACCTTAATATGTTGTGTGGGTGTTCTTTTTTTGTTTGCTTTGGTGCCTTTTTTTTAAATTGGAAGATATCTGCAGCTGCAAAGGAGGCATTTGCAGCACCTTGCCTGCTGTATTTGGGGCCCTTGTGTCCAAGAGTCACAAGCGTGGTACAGAATGATAGGCCTTGTCCCAAAGTTTTATCAACTTCAGCTTATTCTCTATCAAAATTTCTTCCCTTGGCATTACTTTAAGTAAACTCCTATTAATATGTATAATCTGATATTTTAGGAATTAGAACTGGTTGCTTTAAAGAGACCTGCACACGTGCGTGGAAAACTGTGCTTGTGCTATATGGGAATAGTCTTTTGGGTAAGACCGAGCTGCCTCACACTACTGCAGAGATTGGCAACTAATAAGTGTAGCCATTTCTTCAATAAGAAATTAAATTGAAGGAGTGGAAGAAAAAGCTTTCTGGCTGTGTGGAACAACATAGTACATCCAAGTACACAGTGGTTTTAAACCTTCACATGTAGAATCTCTTATAAATAATAAATAAGTTAAAAAAAAAAAAATTCTGTCCTGACTGTGTGAATAAACTGGATCTTTTTTCCTTCAAGTATTGATTAATATTTTTTTGTGGTAGTTTGTTTAATATTTCTAGGTATTGTGTTTACTTCTAGTATTGTTCATGGCCAGTTCTTTTGTCCCGAGTGCTCTTATTGGCACATTCAAATTCATGTTGTACTTGCCCAAAAAGAGAAGGGTTACAAATGGTTTTCCTCGGATGTAGTCATTTTCACACAGCTGTTGAGAGCTCTGTGCTGCTTGATATACAAATAAGACTATAGATTTGTGAACTGTGCTGTGCTTGCTTGACTGTTTCAGGAGATGGAGCCTTATTTGCCTCTAACTAGCCAAGCTGTACGGTTCTGCATCTCAGGAACTACCGTGTTGTTCTGGGTGAGCATCTCTTGAATCATCCCTTTAACATGAATTGCTGGTTATCACTAATCATCCTATTAATGCATACTAGTGCATTTAACCTTTCCTTGAACTGTTTTGCAAAGTGCACTTCCTTTCAGCTGAAAAAGATGAAAGGCCTTGGAAATCTGTCATTAACTAGAAATGTGATGAGCCTTTCTAGCATAAGGATAATTGCTGTTAGCAGATCACCTTGGAAAATATGAAGGCAAAAAAAACTGCAGTGAAATGTCATTTGAAGAGATAGCTATACAATGAATTGGCCAAAAAGTGGGCAATAAATTTTGATAAGTCCTTTCTGTCCTGATTTTTGTGAGGCTTTATTCTGCATTATTTTGAATATTATTAAATCGCCTTGCTTTTATTGTGTTAACAAAATTTTGGTGGGCTTAATGCATCTAATAAGACAAGATATTGCTTGTGTACTTTGCATTTCAGTGCTGCTGACCTTGTGCCCTTAAGGAATGGTATAAAAGGGTATAGAGCATGATTCTATATATCGTGTTTACATAGTGGCATGTATGTAGCCATAGAAAGAACTGTAAGTGCATTTTATACCTGTTGTTTCCAGGTGTCTCTCATCATAGCAAGCATGATAGCGGTGATCGTGTATCGCCTCGCGGTGTACGCCGCCTTCGCCAGCCTCATGGAGAACACACAGACGTTGGAGCCCATCAGCGGGCTGCTCACGCCTCAGCTGGCCACTTCGGTCACCGCCTCGTGCCTCAACTTCGTCATCATCATGATTCTTAACTTCCTGTATGAGAGAATAGCCATCTGGATTACTGACATGGGTGAGCGGTGTGCTTGGAGACGCTGCTGTGGAGGAGCCACGACAGATGGGAGCTGCCTAGGGGTGGCTGACCTGCTGTCCTCACCTGGGGCATACTGGGAGCCTTAGGATGTTTGCAGCAACAACTTTTTTTGTCTGTGGCTATATGAAACTTGTCCCCTCTGTTTAAATAGTTATCCCAAGCTCTCTTAGTATAACATTTGCATATATTAAAATTAGTTCCACAGAGGCCATTGTATTGCTCAGCACTAATTAAAAGTCATTTAGTATTACACGGGACTCATCAAAGCGAGAGGAAGCTGACTTGATTTAGTGATATTTCAGCTAGAAGTCCTGGATGTGTATTAAATAGTAGTCTTAAACAGATCACAGTCATATTGACTAAGGGGAAAAGGCTAAATAATCATATCTGCTCCTCTGAAGGAGCAGGGAAAAAGGACAGCATCCATCCTCTAGGTGTTGTCTCACTACTGCCTATCTTAGCTATGGATTTACATTTACAGACCCAAAGTTAACACAATTTGAAGGCAGAAGAAGCAGTCAGGCCTGGAGTATCTTGTGGCTTTGGCCATCAGGAGTGTGATGTTCAGCAGACTTTCCAGAGCAGGTGGTAGGCAGAACCAGAAGGATCTGTTGGTTTAGTAACAATTTCATGTGTGGGTCTGGAGTGAGAGCTTGAATGCTGGTAATATCCTTCACAAGACCCATTTCTGTATTTTTTTTGGTTTGCCCTTTATTTTTTATCTATAGAAATTCCTGTGCATCTTGTATACGAAGAAATGACGTTGGCAGAATATCCCATTTAGGGGAGGGGGAAGATGAAAAATGTTATGCATGTATAACTAACTTCTTTTAGGACAGCTGTACAGGTGACCTTTTTTGAGTTCTTCAAAGAATTAACAGTGGGAAGGTTTTCCTTGCAGACACAATGGGATGTTGCACAGGCTTTATTTTGATCCTTTGCTAGACCAAATTAGACCAGTGAAAGAACAAGTAATAAGTAAAACTGGCACTAGCAAAGAAAAACAGAGGAAAATAAGCTCTTATGCCTCTCATTTCTTTAAGGGCAAAAATAGGATCATGAAGGCTCAGGCATGTTAGTGGAGTGGTTTAAGTGTTAGCCCTGCTGTGTTTATCTGCTGCAGAAAGAAAATGTTTATTAAATGGGACTGCTGCCCTCTTATGGCTGTGGGAGGCCACACACAGCTGGGTTTTAGAGATATGTTTGAATATAAGAGTAGGAAATGCTGACTACCTCGGTCAGGAATGTATGTGCCAACTCCCTTGCCTTCTGAATTCCTAAAAAACATTAGGCCAGACTTTGCTTTTAGGCCTATGGACACAGCCTTATAGAAGTGCAAACTTGCACCCAATGCAGAAACATTAACTTATTCCCATACAACTTTAGTCTAAGGTAGGCTAGTTAAACTAGATCTGAACAGAGAATGTGATTGAGAGTGCAGCAAGTCTTAAGGAACATTCAGTTATCACTAGAGTTCCTGGATACTTCCCTCATACTCCCCTCTTATGAGCCTTGTCCCTTGGCAGGCCTGGGCCCATCCAGTTCCTGCAGGTTTCTATAGAAGTTGGCTATATCCAGCACACAAAGTTCTTAAGCAGCCCTCTGCCACAAAGTAGGGTTGTCTTGTGTTCTCTGCATTGTCATAACCAAAGCTTCCTATTTGAGAGAACACTGCTAGAAGGGTTTTGAAATGGACTATATTTAGGAGTCTTTAGTGGGATAAGTGCTAGTGGATGGGATGAAGAAGGAGAAATTGAAGCTGCTAATGCTTCAAGAATTGAATTCTGCTTGCATACCCAGAGCACTGGCACTAGAGGCGGATATCTGAGCAGAAACATGATTTGCTGAGCTCTTTTCCAAAGGAATGTAAGGGCACCAGGGATGAAGAGTATTTCTGAATCTGTGGTCTTTTAAGGGCATAAGGGAAAATAAAATAATTATATTCTGTTTTTCAGAGATTCCCAGAACTCATCTGGAATATGAAAACAGGCTGACTATGAAAATGTTTCTGTTCCAGTTTGTCAACTATTACTCGTCCTGCTTCTATGTGGCCTTCTTCAAAGGGAAGTTTGTTGGTTACCCAGGTGCTTACACATACATGTTTAATCGCTGGCGAAATGAAGAGGTAGGACTTGATTGTTCATTCTGCCTTCATCAATCAGCTAGTTGAACTGTTCCTCCCCTCCAACCTATCCAGCTGTAAATTGCCAGCTGTGGGTTTGATCTGGTGTGAGGTGGATTGGTGGCTGGCATCTGTGTAGGGGTGGTCCTGAAGCTCCAGGGTTGCTCTTAAGCATCAGAGTCACATCTTTAAATGGTCCCCATTTTTAATGCATATTTTATTGGACATGTTGAGCCCTTATTTAACAGCTTCCCTTAAGAGGGGTGGCTTGGCTGCCTTGGCTGCCAGTGTGGGTGTGATTTAAGTATTGCCCTAAGGACCCTATGAGCATTTCTCCCTTCCATTCTCATGCCTGCAGCAATAGGGAATGTCTGATGTGGGTCATGTCCATGTTGATGTTACTGTTAACCCCCCATCTGCCTTCTGCAGTGCGACCCTGCAGGCTGCCTGATAGAGCTGACGACACAACTCACTATCGTCATGGCTGGCAAACAGATCTGGGGGAACATACAAGAGGCCATCGTCCCGTAAGTCACCCCTCTGCTCAGAGGCTTGTGAAATGATGGCAAGGAGAGAATCGGTAGGCGCGATGAAAATTAACTGCCTCAGTTCTGCCAAGCAGACTTACTTTAAAAGTTTTCTGGCGTTTCATTTGTGAAAGCACATTGCAAAAAGAATCCTTTTTTGGAGTGAAAGGAATACTTAGTTTGCTCTCTCCCCTGTTACCTCTTTCTGTGAATATAGCTGGATTTGTAACTGGTGGGGACGACGGAAAGCGAGAAGTAATCCCGAAAACTTGTACAGTCGCTGGGAGCAGGACCATGATCTGCAGATATTTGGTGCCTTGGGTCTGTTCTATGAATATCTAGAAATGGGTAAGTTGAAAGTGCCTTTTTAGAATAAGGACAAGACAACTTTACTTGCATTGTGAAGATGATTAGACTGCAGTTAGTTTTGAGAGGTAATGCTACTGCTTCCATGTGGTAAACCATAGCAAGGGAGCAGCTAAAAATCATGCCTAGCCCAATGAACTAAGCTGCTTTTGCAGCTCATAACGCAGGGAGTTTCATAAAAACACTGCCAGGACTGTTCCCCTTGTTTGGCTGGTGAATGTTCCTGTTGGCACAGCCAGCTCTGTCACTGTGTGTTTGGTTCCTGTTCCCAAGCGTGCTTGCTGCTGATCTCAGTGAGAGGTCCAAGTGTGGAGCAAGTGCCAAATATGCTCAATGACTGCCCTGCAGATGGGGTTTCCAAACTGGATCAGAGAAAAAAACATGGTTTGGGATTTGCACCGAGTAAAGCTTTGTTGTCGTCCAGCAGAGGGAGCAGGCGCTACCAAGAGATTGCTCAAAAGTAATGCTGATGTGATCAGCGTAGGAAACTTTGACAAAACATAAGAAAGTAAAGCTGCAAATTGAAGCCAGACTAGAAGTCTGAAGTCATGAAAGTGGATTGTGGGGGGGGGGCAGATTATTATCATTCATTGACTAAAACATACAAGATGTCCTCTGCTTGGCCCTGCACTGAGGAATGATGCAGAATGCATCAAAAGAGATTCTGTCTTGGTAGTGAATAAAGGCATCACTTGTGTATTCTGTTGGCAGTTTTAAAACTAATTAAGACTCCCCACCAGAACCAATAAGGGCAAAATAATAGTATTTTAACTAAACTAATAACAGCGGGGAGAGGTAAGACTGTGATAAAAATGAAAATATTCTCAGGGCAGGGGTAGACTGTATGTTGTACAGCCTGGCAGAAGTTTGCCATGTGTCCAGTTATGTTATCCTAAATGTCACCTGTCTGAAGACTCTCATCTCAGGGCACGTTTTGACACTTGTACTTTTCTTCCCTCTTGCAGTAATTCAGTTTGGGTTTATCACTCTCTTTGTGGCCTCCTTTCCTCTGGCTCCCCTCCTTGCTCTGATGAATAATATTTTGGAGATCCGAGTCGACTCCTGGAAGTTAACCACACAGTACAGGAGACCCGTTGCTGCCAAGGCACACAGCATAGGAGTTTGGCAAGAAATCCTGAACGGAATGGCCATCTTGTCTGTTGTCACTAATGTAAGTAGCTTAATTGTGCTAAGTCAATGTTGTATTTGTGTTTTTAAAATTTCCTTTTTAAATCAGTCAACACTTTCTGCTTTATCCCTAATGCTCATTTTTATGCCATGCTGGCCTAGGAGGTGTGGTCAAGCTATCTGGGCATTTGTGCATCTCAATCCACATTTTGTTGGACCATAATTCATTTGCTTTTTCCAGTATTTTTGCAATGACATGAGCTAGCCTGAAGTTTAACGGGAAGCACCAGGTTGTGCAGAGGGAGCCACAGGGGATAGAGGTGGATTAATTCCATCAGCTTGGCGATGTTTCTGTCCTGCTATTATAGGGTCAGTGTTGTAGGAGTTACTCTAGTTCAGCTGCCTCAGGATTCTCCTATGGGAGCAATGGCTTAAAATACTCCTAAAAATGCTACAGTTGGCATTCCATCTTTAGTGTAAAAGTCTGCTGAGCAAAATAGGTACTTAGAATACAAAATATTAAACCATATCAGATCATAAGTGCCTTGGGTGCCAAAAACACTTGTGTAACTAGCAAAGTACCTGGACACTTTGAGCATTTTGGGTTTTTAGACGCATGTGCTCGTAGTTGTTGCTTCCTTTTGAAATGCAGCTGGAGCAACTGGTTCCTGTTCTCTGATAAACTAACTTGGCAATCACACAGCAGATGCAAGTTCATAGTCCACAAGTATTCCAATCCACATCTCTTCTCCTCAGGAGGGCTGTGATCACTGATAGCAGATGGTTTGGTCTGAAGCTGGGAAAGAACAAGCAATTGGTTTGGTACTGCATGAAGTAGCCCCTTTATTGAGAAGGGAAAGGGAAAAACGGTTTTGAAGTCAAAACACTCATATAGAGAAGAAGTTTTTAGGCTTTCGGTATCTCTGCTAACCTATTTTTTTCAATAAAAAGCTAGTTGCAGTAAAGGCTAGAGCCAGCTCCAAGGTAGCTGCCCTTATTTCACTTACCTGAGTTATGCCACAGAATCAGGGTTATGCCTTTTATTAATTTGCTCAGTGTGGTACATACTCAATTTCTTTTTTCAATTTCTTTTCAGGCTTTTATTGTGGCGTTCACATCGGATATGATTCCTCGTTTAGTTTACTACTACGCTTATTCTACAAATGATGCCTCTCCTATGTCTGGATACATAAATAATAGTTTGTCAGTGTTTCAAATCTCAGATTTCCCTACCAGAAACAAGCCAAAAATGAATCCAGATAACTTTGTCATATGCAGGTTTGTGTTGGTATAATAATAATATGCATTTTGTCACCATCTTTTTAGAATACACCGTAAAAATGCATTAGGCTAAGTAATCCACTAAAAATAAATGATAATTCTCAAGTGTTAAAAGATGAGGTTTAAGCTATTAATGAGACAGTGTTTGAGATCGTATGAAATCCTGCAAGGAACCAAGGAAAAATCACCTTTTTTACTGTCAGACCGTCTTATTTGATAATAGGGGATTCTTTTCTCCCTGAATTATTCTACTGATTTTTTCTGAGTAATAGAAGAGACTGATGTTCCTAAGATTGCCCCTAAGCCTGTACTGTGGGATATATTTAGCTGTGCTGCTACTGAAAATGATATGGTTTTCAAAGTCACATGTCACTGTGCTTAATATCACTGCACATCTGGACTCTTCTGTAGAAAAGTCCTTTCTAACTAGAAGAAAAGTGGTTGTTTCTAGAAGAATTGAGAAACAGGGTTAGAAATCCATGGTAAAGGAAAATTCTTTTATATGATGTCAGAAAAAATCCTTTAAGAAAAAGCTGCACTTCAGTGTTTGAGGTTTAAAGCTTCAAGAGGGCTACACACCAGCTCAATGCTGAACACATCCTCAAGACTGCCCTCTGATGAAACCCAGTGTCTGTCCCATACCTCATCTATCAACTCCCATTTTATTTATTCAACACTTGTCCCTTACTGTGTGCTGTATGGCCTCACTGTCCTGCTTGACTTGATGGTGGCCTGGAAACAAAGACAACCTATGTATAAAACTGCACTTGTTGCCCATCTGCATCCATACTCCAGTGCTGTGAATGAGGGTGTTGAAGCAAGCGAAATGAAAACAAATCGAGAGCCAACCTTTTTCTGCAGAAGGAAGCAGACCATTTAAAACAAGATGAAAAGGTTCCTTAAATGACAGCTGTATTTGCATGCAAGTGTCACTGAGCTTGTAGCCTGTCTCAGACTGAGTATGACATTTCACCTTTCCGTGTTTTTCTACCTAACAGGTACAGAGACTATCGATATCCTCCAGATCATGAGAGGAAATATTTACACACTATGCAATTCTGGCACATTCTTGCTGCAAAAATGGCCTTTATAATTATTATGGAGGTATGTTCCCCACATAATTACCTTCTGAAATCAATGTTACCAATTCTGTAGGTACTTGCGAATATTTTGAGAACTAGAACTGCTGAGTGTATAAGTAGCTTCTTCCCTAAGCAATATCAAATATTCTAGATCCAAAACAAATACTATGACTTGGTCTTTCAGCTTCAGGAAGTTAATCTCAACATACAAAAAAAAAGTTTAAGAAACTTCTAGATTTGATCCAAAGAAAACAGCAGAATAAGCTGTTCCTAAAAGCTGTGCATTATTGGCATGGGAATGTGAATTTTCTAAGAAACCACACAGAGGGATTAGAAAGCAATGCTCGGGGTTCAAAACCTGACACCTTCCTTTTGGATTTGCTAATTACAAAAATGGTTTAGAATTCAAGTTTTTCTGTAAAATGTCTAGCTGAGATGTGCACAAAGATTAAAACATTAGTTTGTGATATATTATTCTAGGACAGCTGACTGGTAGACAATACCAAATGGTCACTTCTCTTCATAGACTAATTCATCCTTCTTTCACGTGGCAATGATTTTTTTACATTTCTCCTGCCTTTTTCTTTTTGCAGCATGTTGTATTCATCGTTAAGTTCTTTGTAGCTTGGATGATTCCTGATGTCCCTGCAGATGTGAAAGCCAAAATAAAACGTGAGAAGTACCTGACACAGAAAATCCTACATGAGTATGAACTCGAAAAACTGAAGGAGAAACTGTGCCGAGGTGACACGCAAGCCACTGAAAAGGAGTTAATTACCACGGAAGGGAAAGTGGAATTATCCAGAGCCATGTAGCATTGAAGCAACTACTGTATGGGATTCAGCTCGTGGGTCTGTGCTTTGCTCAGTGTGAGGCATCCCAAGCAATGGGATGCTCCGACCCCTTTGCTTTCAGCCCACAGATTTGGGACTTTTTTTTACAGGGTCTTAGTGAGCGTTCTAAGTTGAGTAAACTTATTAACTCCTATGGCTTTAGCACTGTTACCTATTTGCCTGCTACTTTGAAAAATACTTGGAATTGTGTAATCCCAGAATTTGGATTCCTAGGATTAAAGGCCCTTCCCCTTTAAGGGCTTGGGTTATGGTGTGGTGGTTGTCACCAAACCCTGCTCCCTGTTCCAAAGGGCACAGCTCAGGCTGTGTCCCAGCTGAGTAAAAAGGATGTTATGAATGCATTCTGTTATGGAAAGTGCTGAAAATGATTTTTATAGCATGATCGTTTCAATCGGATAATCCAATCTCTGCATCAGAAATATTATGTTTTTTTGAATCAATGCATATCTTATGTAACACTTGTTTGCAGCTTTGAGCCTGCATGTGTTTTTAGATGGAATGAATTTTTAACTTTACATTGGCCTAATTCCACTTGGAATTATTTTAAGGCATTTAATTCAGTAAATACATGAAGGAAATTAAAAGAACATATTTTTTCATAAAGGGACCTGCCAAAGTTTGTTCTTTAAATACAAATGTTGTAGAATCATCTAATTGGTCTTCTCAAAAAGATGTAAACATCTTTGGATTTTTTTTTTCCCCCCCTCAGCCTCAAAAACTACTGTTAGGCAAAAAATGCTTGACAAGTTTGGGCCAAAGTGGGTCCTTCGTTTGGTTTCTTGCCATTTCTGAAGGCTGAAAAAGGGCTAAAAGGGCCTCTGTGCTGCGACTTTGAACAGGGTCCAGGGACTTGGGAGACAAACTGCCTTACACTTGTATGGAGATGAGGATTGTGATTCAAAGCATTAACAATGTCAAATAATGGGTTTATGTTGCCATTGTCCTTATAGGAGCCTTTTAATTTTCAAGAAGGACTTTTTTCTGCTTTCTCATGGGACTTTTTTAGAGTTATCGTGTGTGTGTATATAATATCTACTTGTACAAAATAGCTATGGGTTATTGAATGTGCCCTTGTTTTATAATTTTAAGTGGTTATGCATTTTTATGATTTTGCTGGGTATTTAAAACATATCAATGCTCCGATGCTTAGTGCCTTGTTGATTTGCATTTGACACAAGATGTGAACACGACAGCAATGTGGAAAGGGGTGTTTCCAGAGCGAGCTGGAAACACAGTGACACTGTAAACCTGCCCACGGAGCTGCATCGTGTTGGCCAAACGCTGCCTGCCCCGCACATTCCCGAGCTCTTTGGGAGCAGTTCCCAACCGAACTGCATGGATATGAAGTAGTGGCAGATGGTAGAGTCCTCTCATGCTGAGGTAGCCTGGCTTGAGAGTTTGAAGTTTTAAAATATTTGCACTTTGATAGTTATACTTCCTTGCAAGTATACCAAAAGCAAATCTGACTTGTATTCTGTATCAGCCAAATAACGTACTGTTTACTAGGTCCACAAGGTAGTCTCCAAATTGTGTGTTGGCAGCCTGTGTCTTGGGCCACTTGGTGGTAACCTGAGTACCACAGTGGTGTTTGAAATAGCTGTGTTGGGTGAACGTGTTGCAACGAGCAGAAGTTGTGATGTTGAAGTGCCTACCTCTCAACCCCTGCGTGGCTGGGCTCTGGCCAGGGAGCTGCAGCAGCTGTACATTTCCCTTGATTGTAACTTATTGCCTCTCATTCTTCAAGCTGGCTTGGCAAGTCTGGCATCCTGGTGATTCATGATGAACCATGTTCTTGAATATTCACGTGTATTTGAAGCAGTGGGTTTGCTGCAGGAGTGAATAAATGAGCTAGCTCTGCTGCTTGGTGCATAAGCCAAAGAGGAGTCTTGGTCATGGCAATTATGTATGCAACACCAAAATTTGAATTATGTAAGCACTTTTTTGCTTCTTAAATCTATACTAAGCTGCTTAATTTAGATCCCATGGTTTGCCATTGCTAACAGGAACAAAAGTGTTACCTCAGGTAATGAGGTCATGAGATGCAGAACCATAGGGATATTTCTATGCAAAATGCACAAGTCTGAAGCTTAAAACAGGTTTGAAAATTCAGCTGTTAGATAGGTTTGGAGGGCAAAACATTAATATTATTCTTGTGTTGTAAGTGTCCTAATATACTGCACTTGAAAATAGATCAGCAAAATTCACTATTTTGAGTGAAACTTGCTATTTGAAAGCCAAACAAAAGGAAACAAGGAAGAAACCAAATATTTGGAGGTAGTATTAATGTGCAGGAGCCCCACATCCGTATTTGGAATTAGATGGGATGTTTGGCCCCATTTCTTGCTTCCTTAAACCTTGTTTTTTCACTCCTTGTTTCAGGCTAGAGAAGAGATTCTGCACATATTGAATCTTGTAAATAAAAAAAGTGGTAACCTGTGGCATTGACTTAATTAAAAATGTGTATAAATATATCATTACACTCCAAAGCATTCTTTCTTGGGATATAGAAGGTGTTGAAGAGTATTGTCATATTAATGGCTAAGGTCATATATGACCATGGTCTAACACACCTCTTGCCATAATATTTTGCCTTTATTAAGCAGTATTTTTCACAAAGAAAAGATTATTAGCATGATTAGGATTATAATAGCCTATATACATATATATTTACTCAAGTATTTCTGGAAAAATGGCAAAAAATAGTTTGTGGATGTTGTTATTCTTACTGTGGGAATATGATTTTGATGTTGAAAATACATATCTAGAAGTGTCCTTTAACCAAAGCAAAGCCTCTCCTATTTTCAAACTAGGGTCACTTGAGGAATGGTAGACAGCCTCAGAGTTAAACAGAAAACAAAATTGCTCTTTTAAAGTGTAGTAAGATCAGGGATTTTTGTTTTTGTTTGCTTGAAATGTAGTATTTATACCCAGGGCTGATTTAATAGGGTGTGATCTGAGCAAATGACTGCAAAATGGGAATGTTACTACAAAACACTATCCTGGTTTTCTAGATTTTTCTTATACTTTTACTTTTTTATGAAAACGTGAATAATACCATCAGTTTGTAGTACAAGGAAGGCATGGAAATAGATGTGCTCTCTTATTGTCTGTGTATTCCTTGTTTGGAGCAGTGTTCTAGTCTGCTAGGTATGATGTTGATATATGTGATACACTAATGTTGGGGTAATTTTTTAAAACATTGCATTTGGCTAACTTATGTACATTTAATAAGAATTAAATCTGTTGGCAAATCAGTGTTTATTTTTAATATGGTGTCCACTTCTTTGGGCTGTTTCGATCGTTTCAGGTGTCTCCAACTCCTAGCAGTGTCTCTGCGTGATGTTGTAACTTCCTTCACTAGGAACCTCAGGAAGAGGAGGAAACTTGAGTGCCCTCTTCCACCTGAACAATAACCACACTGTGGCACTGCTTGTTTTGTTGTTGTTTTCTGTCTTTTTGCTTTTTTTTTTCCTTAGCAAAAAGGGTAACCAAGGCACACCTGTACCAAGTTCTACACATGGTGTTGGCACCACCCATTGAAGACATAGACATGCTCTGTGCTATGCCAGGAGGAGGTTTGTCTTTGTACATCTTTGGGTTAGATGTGTCCCAGTTCACTGAGACTCTGAGCTTCTGTCTTTCTGTAGGTGTGGTACAAACATTAACACCCCCCCCTCCTGGCCTAGCAAAATAAAAATAAAATAATATAATAAAAGGCACTGTCCTGGGGGGGGTGGGGGGCTAATTCTCGAGGAAGGCCGATCTTCATAAAGATGCTGCCACCTTAATCATGGTACTGACATGGGTTGAGGCCAGTACAGCTCTGCAGCAGTGCCAGTAGCATCCTCAGCTCCCACATTTAGAGCACTTCTCCCTGAAAGAGGCTGGGCAGTGGGGCTGGGATCTCTAGCATCTGCTAGAGCAATGACTATATACAGATACAGCCTTGCAAAGGCACTTAACTTGGCATTTAAAAAAAAAAAAAAGTTCTTTGACCAGATGAAGAGACATAAAGAAAACATGTGCTCATTGCCTTATGAAAACTAACATAATTATTTTGCAAGCTCAGTATGTGACAGCTCTGGTGGCATGTGTGTGTCTCCCCAGCATCATCCTGGCACTCTGGAAAAGCCACCACTAAATTCAATTGTATCCTGGTTTTAACTGATCAGTCATCCTTACCCAACACTTTTTAATCACACGGATGTGGCTCAAGAAGGTTTTTTTAATTTATTTTTTAAATAAGTATATGTACATAAGCCTGTGTACTGAGAAGTCTGCTGGGAGATGAGTAGGCTGTGAAATGTAGCAGCTCTATCAATTTTTGGAAGGGGCATGTGCATATTTCCCTGCAGCAGTCAATGATGATGCTGTCTGACTCATTTCTGACTGAATCTAAACCATTTTTAAAGTGTATTTTTTCCCTAATGCTCTCAGACAAAACAATGCTGATACCTAATCAGAAACAATATTTTTATGTGACCTAGTTTGGTCCCTTGGTGCTATAGACTTTCACAGCTTTTGCTTAAAAACACGACACCTTTGCTGAACAGTCTCTGCCAGAAATGAATTGCAGTACAAGCTCCTGGAATTCTTTTTAATGCAGACTCCTGGGCATGGCACCTTTAGTTACCCAGCCATGAACTGCTGTGTGTAAAACTGAAGCAGGAAATGATGGGATGGTCCCATCCGAGCTGGTCACCAACAGGAAAATAGCCAAAGCCCTGTTAATTACATCTCCAAGTCTAATGCCTAAGCATTGTGGCAAATGTATAAAGGAGCCGGGGTCTGTGTCGTGTTACAACCTGATCCCAGCAGAAGCCTTTGCCACAGGGTTTCCTTGAATACCCATTTCTGATATTGTGCCAGGAGCAAAGTGCCAGCAAACACACTAATGCTGCAACTAAGCCTGGTTTCTGGTCCTGCCATCTCTGTTACTCCTCGGATAAAGCCCTGATTCCTGTCTATGCTGGTGGAGATTTTGCTGCTATCTTCTGGGAGAATTCTGGGGAAACAATTCAATCATCTATTTTTTTTTCTAAATCAGACAGTCTGATA